ACTGCTCTCATATATTAAGCCTGTTCGTTTTCGGTAGGGACTGGCCACACATGCTGCCCCACAGGCCACAACTGGTGGGCTGTTCCTTTTTTCTGTACATACACTGTGACTGTGGCTGCTTTCTCATACAACAACAGAAGTTGGAACAGAGACCACATAACACAGGAAGCCTGAAATGTTTATAATACGTCCCTCTACACAAAATTACACAAGAGAACTGGCCCTACGCTATAAGAAAACGGTGTGCCATTAAGAGAAATGTTGGTTTTCAGGAAAGGGAGGAAGCTAAAATGTGATGTGGCATTATCTTTTGTCCTTTCTTAAGGAGCTAATACTAGAAGACTGGTTTAGAAAAGCTTAATATGACACTGAATATGAAATTTTAAAAATTGAAAAGCCATAAATCATCTCTCTTGAACAGTTACATAAGGAAATGTTTTATCACTGGGATAATGTAAAGATAGATGAGTTAATCAGGTCGAAGCAGCATTAGAAAGAATATAGGTTTTTGCAGATTATTCTAAACACTTAGAAACTATAAGAGTCTTCATTCTATATCCATGAGAGAAAATAATTTTAAGTTCCTTTTTCGTATACATAAATAAAGATTAGTAGTGAAAAGACACACCTTTCTTCCTGAAATGTGCTAAGGGGCATACAAAGAATCGAAAGAAACTATACCAATACCAACTTTGATATCCACATTATTTTGTCCATGTTCAAACATTGGAATTATACTACAGTACAGTTCTTAATATTCTTAATGTTCTGTGAATTTTAGCAGCTCAGAATATCTAGAGGAATTTTGGCTTGAAACTTTCAGTGAATGGTAAAACCTATACATTTGTGCATAACTATAGATCAAGAGGTAGAATGATTAATTGTTAGGTCTGAGACACTTGATTTGATTAATTCTGAATTTCTGAACACACACTTAGTATTTGGCCATCCCCATTCTGAGCACCAAATGGTGAAACATGAATGCCAAATAGAACTGGGTTTTGTCACCATTAAGTCAGCCTAACTCTTTCTGACAAAAGCAGGTGGGTTTAAGTCCTTAGATCTATAGTTAACACTAATTAATCCCTCTCAAATCTTAATTTTAAATACAAGATAGAAGTTGTGTGATAAAATTCTTAATTTATTTATAGCCTGTACTTAAATGGTTTTATGATTATCCCTTATTTCCTTTCTTACACTTGCATCTTAGCCAAAAGGTCGAGAAGCGATCTTATTTCCTTTCTTGAAATAAATTGTTATGAAAAATTTTTATAATGAAATTCATCTTGGTTAATTAGCGAAAAATAGCAAGGTATTTATTGTTATTTACCATAATTTAGAACTCACATTTAAATTAGTATTTTGTAGTTTTACATTCCTTTTTAATCCATTCAGTGGAGAATGTCAAATCTTCTCCCAAGCTGTATGTTAAATCAGTCCTAATAGGTACTCAACATCAAAGACAAACATGTAATAAACATGGAAATAAAGTTTAGCTCTGTTAGTCAAATGTTTAAAAAAAAAAACCTACTGGTCCCACTTCAATACTGGTGACTGACCTTCTGGGTGTTCAACAACTGAGGCTTAGAGACCAAAGCTAAAAAAGAGTAACTGGGTTGAAGGCAGCCAATATTTTGGCCCTGGACCTCCAAGGTCAACTAGGATCCAGGACATGAGAGGATCCCTCTAAAAGGTTCCTACAACTCCAATGAGTCACTCACCCTCCTGAGAGATTGTATCCCAGAGGACAGGAGTCAACCACTGTACATCCTACTAAAGGAGAGCGACTAAAAAGGAAAATGTCTCCCATGCTTCCAAAGGAAGCCATATGGTCAAGCAAGACCATGACTCTTCCTGGCAGATGACACTGGCAGAACAAAACAAAAAAAATATTTAAAAGCTGAAAGGCTTTGTACATGGCCCTAAAAGTAATCCCTGAGGAGCCTTAACTGACCTTGATATATATAAACAGCAGAGTTAATTTTAATTAATACACTCTCATTTTAACTTGGTCTTAAACACTCAGCAGAACATTATAACCAAAAGGATATATAGAGAGAATAATAGTAATACAGGCTAGATATTTTTTTAAAAAGGGCTCCAAGTACTACACTGACCTTGCTGACAGTCTCCAGCTACACCTACAACTTATCATTATTATGGTTCAATAAGACTAAAAGAGCCATGGTGACAGCTATAGAGATATAGCAAGAGTCTTTAAATTCTTCAGCTGAAATAGTCCTTTAAAAACCATAGAATCCTTGATCTTCTTTTGACCAAAACCGGAGGGACTTGCACACTGATAAATGAAACTTCTTGTCTTTGGATAAATAATTCACATTAGGTGGAACAAGACCTTAAAACCATAAGAAAAAAATTCCAACTTACAGATAACCTCCACAACAGGCCTAGGACGCAGCTAGTTAGAATCCTACTCCAATCCCTTAACAGTGTCTGGACCTGGCTCCTTCCCTTAATCACCCCAATCTGTCCTTTCATTCTGGCTCTTGTGTTGGGCTGTACATTCTTAATCTCTTGGTAAACTTGTTTCTTCTCATTTGGACTGACAAGCTCCAAATGGTTGTACAGATGGAGCCAATGTCGAATGTGCCTAACTCCTTTTACCGGGGTCCACTAGATCAACCCTCTGAAGAGAATCCATAATTGCCAACTCTCCCAATAAGACTTCTACCAAAGGCCCCTGAGGTGAGCTCTCTGAAGAAAATCTCTGCTAGCCCCCTACACTGACCCCTCTCAGCAAAAAGCAGGTAAATGGAAATCTTCATCCATCTTCCCTAATGACAGTTAGAAATACTTCTTCAGAGGGGGGATTATAACAGAGTGCTAAGATAAAGTCAGCTACATTTTTTTAAAAATAGCACACACTGAGTTAAGAACTAATTCAAGCAGCTAGTTAAACTTAGTGTAGTCCAGTGGTTGAGCACTTGCCTGGCATATGTGAGGCTCTGGGTTCAATCCCCAGCACCACAAAAACAAAGCAAAAAGAAATGTAAAAGAAAACTCAAGGAAAAAAGATAAAAAGTTAATATAAGAATGGAGAGATAAGAACCTTTCCTCATAACACACTAAATTAAGAGCTACTTCAAGCAGCTAATTAAATTTAAAAATATAAAAGAACACACAAGGAAAAAAAGTGAACGGTTAAGATAAGAATCTTTCTTCCCAGGTAAAAGGTATGCTAGGCAGAGTATGATAAATTAACAGCTCCTCCCTAAGCTCCAGGCTAGGCCTGGAGAAACTGAGAAATGTAGAGTATCCAGCAAAGTATTCAACTAAGTAAATGATTTTTGTTTTAAGATCTACAAAGCCTCCTGTGCTCTGCTTATCTATACAAGAGCAGGACAAAGAAGCCAATTTGGACTTCCATCTAGAATCCTCTCTTGATGGGTATCCACCAAGAACTCTTTTCTTCTTATTTCCAATAAACACTCTACAAAATTCAAACAAAACAACAACAGCAATGTCAAAAAAACAGTTGTGACTATTGAACAATGTTACTACTGAGCAATGTGGTTATACAACAAGTAAATGTGACTACTGAACAATGTGGCTATGCAACAGGTGTGGTCCGATTTTTTTTAAAAGGAAGGAAGGAAAAAAGAAAAGGAAAGAAAAAAGAAAGAGAGAGAGGGAGGGAGGGAGGGAGGGAGGGAAAAGAAAAACGCAAAGGAAAGGAGAGAAGAGGAAATAAATGAGAAAGGCAAGCTTACCAGCCCACTGGCTGTGACAGAAAGTAGGGCAACATGACCAGAGGTAACACTCATCCAAGAGATAATGAAACAGCTAGAACTCCAAGCTCTGTTGGGCTGCAGGACTGGGCCTGTATGGAGGCCACTTGTAAGCAGGAGTCTGGTCTTGGGAAGCCACAAAGACTCAGTGAGATTAAGGTGAAAGAACAGAAACTGAAAATTCCCAAAAGTAAAAAAAAATTCCCATAGGGAAATGTGAGCCAGTGTTGTCACAAGTAAGGACAGGGGTTGCTGGCAAACTCATGTTCAGCAGAATGACATTTGCACTATAACAGAACAAGGCATCTGTTATGGATATAAAGGTTCAATGCTGAGATTTCAGGTATCTGTAAGTAGAAAAGCAGAACAGATTAGGGAGATTAAAGTACCTGTTACAAAAACAAAAGATGGACAGACAGCTATACATTTTTTACAATAGACTCTCAAAAATCATTCTCATTTTATCTTCACTTCAGCCAGCTCCGAAAGTGAAGAAGGTAACAATAAGAAATATGAGGTTTGAAATAAATCTTTTAGCTTCAAGGCCCGAAGAGCAGCAAACACTTTTCCCCACAAAAATATCAGTAAAAATGTGCTACTTAAAAGCAAGTTCTTCAATTTCAGTTCTGTCACATACTACATATGTGCCCAAAGCAAGTCACTTTAATTCTCTGGCCCAAATTTCTCCTGTAAAATTGAGATAATAATATGTACCTCACATAAAGCACTTTGTAGTACTAAGAATATGGTTGTTGCTGTTACTTCCTTCTCTGTTATCTACTAAATGTGGTCTTGAACAAGTTATTTACTTTCTGGAGCACCCTAATCTCTCACCAGCAAAACTGGACTAACAATGCTGACTTCCCTAAGTGATTTATGAGGACTGAAGGGAAGAGAAATGAAAAGCACAGCACATATTAGATGAATGTGAATAAACCACAGAGGTCTCTGAAGTTTGAGACTGAGTTTGATGCCCACTTCACATTATAACTGCACAACTTTGAGCAAATGGCAACCTCTCTGATCCTCAGTTTCCTCACAGGTGAGATGTGACTGACAACAGTACCCATGATACAGAATGGCTGTGAAGATTCAGTGTGACCTGGCACACACCAAACATTTAGTGAGAGCCTCTGTTTTTGCTGTTTTTTCCTGCACTCTCACACAGGGCTTTTCCAGCACTGATGAGAAAAGTGAGCAAAGCATTGTAGAGACAAAGTGAGGCTCGGGCCAACATCTGGGATGAATCACCTGTACTGAGTGTCCAGTCCTCAACCCTCTTCTCAGCACCAGGTGGAGAGCATCCACATCCCTGCTTGTGGAACGCTTCTCTGCAAAGGCCAGGAAGGTGCGGGTGGGGGGCACATAGAGCAGGGCTGGGATCCGGTAGGTAATCCCATTCCTGTCTTCCTGCTGGAACAGAGGGCTGTTGAAGGAGCATGGTGTCACCTCTTCCTTGACATCTGCAAGACAGAAGGCAACTCAATGTGTGTCCATACCCAGGAGCTGGTCTCCAAACAAGTTCTCTATCATTCCATCTCTGGAGGGCACAGGGGAGACACAGATGCCCTCAAATGTTAGTATCTTCTTACGAAGGGAGAATCATTGTCTCAACAGCACAAAGAAAGCTATATGCATTCTCATTTAACAACACTATTTTCCAAACTCTGGAGGAATCCTATGCAGCCTGTGTCAAGTGTGTTTCTTGGCATCCAGGGGTCAGTAGGTAGATTTTCTCCCCCTAGTCTACCCTATCAGAGTGTACATCCAACAGAGGACATACATTTTCAAGAAACCTAGCTTCATGTAGAGATCTTTGCTCCAATTAGATGTGGACCTGTAGCTTCTCTTACTACAAAAACAAGCTTGCTGCACAGCAAGCTTATTGAAGCCCAAGTTTCCAAGTGAGACCAGCAAACATCTAGGGCAGGCAGGGGCAGGTTAAGGAGTGAAATACTCTGGTTTTCAGTTTGCTTTTAGTTTCCAGGCCACTAAGTAGCAAAACTTGCATCAAATCCCAGATCTCCAAAATTCCAGCTCAAGTCTTTTTGCAGCCCACAGATCCCTTCTGTACGAAGAGGAAATTTTCCTGCTCTCAGTTCCCCTTAACTCACAATCCTAATCTAAGGTTTATGTTTGGCTAAAGGAAAGAAATCAAAAATAGAATAGCTAAGAATACTCTGTCAGGCCCTACCTACTGGGTGGCTGACTCAACGTTCCATCAAAACTGGATTTCCTAAGTGCAAATGGTGCTGCTGCCCATGCTCCACAGGCCCAGGGCCCCAATGCTGGGGCGGGGCGGGGTGGGGGGGGGCTCTCCAGTCTCCCAGCCCCGCTCACCTGCGCGGGACCCCAGTTCCTCCGTGTCGCTCCAGGGCTGGGGAGAAGGAGACAGCAGAGAGGGACAGGAAGAGACGTTAACTGAAGACATGAAGACAAACCCCGAGAAGTAAAGACCCGGCAGCTGGCCTGAAAGTGGCGGCAGACACTTGGAGACAGATCGGAGATCAAAAGTCACGTCGGTGAGCTGGCGGGGACAGTCAGTAGCTCGCGGGCCGGGAAACGAGACCAACCTCTGGCCACCAGGCGGGGCATCCCTCAACCGAGACCCAGCCTCGGCCGCAGCCCCGCCTCCTCCGCCCGCCCTGGCCCCTCCCTCGCAGTCTCCACGCTCGGGTCCCCAAGCCCATGCTCTTCTTTGATTGGTTAGTCTGTTAGTAAGTATCACCGCCTAAAATTTCCCTGGATAGGCTGGGAGTGGAGAAAAGGTTCCGGGCCTCAGAGGGGACTATAAAAAGGATCAATGCCCCTATGCATTGGGTGCCTTCCTTGCAAAATAAATAAATACAAATTTGAAAATTTATAAAATTTATTATATACATGTATACGTACACTGAGTAGATTTTCTTGTCTCACTGTCATGAAAACTAACAGGCACCCGCCTGAAGACCTCCGCCTGGGAAATTCCGGACAGCTCCTAAAACAGGTGACATATGAGAATTTTAAAAAATAAAATAGGTTCCGCGGCCTGCCGCCCAAGCGCAAGGTCCCCAGTTCGATCCCCGGTACCAAAAATAAAATAAAATAAAAGATAGATAATAGGAAACAGGGAGATAGACTTCTTTTGCAAATGGGAAAGAGACCAATATGTAGATGGAGAGAGTAGGGAGTGAGGAGAGGGAAAGGGTTGTAAAAAGAATTAAGATGTTGTGTACATGTACTAACATCCTACAATGAATGTAATCATTATTTACTACAGACATATACTGATAAAAATAAAAATTTAAGTTAAAAAAATACACACAGGGTTAGGATCAGAGACTAATCTAGTACCAATGAGCCCCCAAAATACGATTTCTTCCTAAAAGGAATCACAATTCAGTGAGAAAATGGCCGATTTCACATCTAGGGAAGAAATTGTACAAGATAAGCCTACAGTATCTTGTCCTACCAAAAAGCAAGGAAGCCATGAAAGAATATTTGGGTCATGTCACAAGAGCCAATTTTGAAGATGATGCCACTGGCCAAATATGGAAAATTTTAAACCTCAGAAAGAAAAATTGCCAGAAAGGATTAAACTAAGTGTTAAAATTCATGGGTTTAATTCTTTTAATTATTTGGGGAAGATACCCAGCAGGGTAATAGCTAATAGCTAATGTGAAATAGGAAGAAAAGGGGCAAAGGGGAGGGGGTAGTGGGAGGGGTAGGGGAAAGGAAAGAAGGGAATGGAATTAATATGAGAAAATGAAAAAATGGAAACAAAGTCTTTGTAAATAGAGAGGGATGGAGGGGTTGAAGGGAGGGCAGGGGAAGGGAGAAAACATAAGAACCAAGAGAATATGTAAAGGTGCATATCTGCAATGATGAATGTCATTATATTGTACACCTAAAATATACCAATAAAAGGATATACAAAAAAATCATGGGTTTATATTGACATATGGCAGGGGAAAGTCTCTTTGGTCACTCAGAGATTGTGAAGGAAACAATCGAGTTTTTGTTCTTTCTGTCTTTTCTATATATACTATGTTTCAGGGTAACTAAATAGTTGAAGGGGAGCAGTTTTCCTTTATAATACAATCAACTAATAAATGCTGAATTAGGTATTATATGGTCTTCTGCTGTGATGCAATAAAAACTGCACAAAAAACTGGACAAAAAAATCTTGCACAAAAAATCAAATCTGAAACAGTAGATGTTAAATGACACCATCCAGATACAATCAACCAAATCCATAATGTAAGAAGTTCTACAGGAAAAATGATATGGCTTCTTAACAAATAGCAAGACAGAAAAAGAGGAGACTTATAGATTAGAACAAAAAAACCAAGTAAAAGAAAAACTGTGAGCCTTGTTTGGATCCTAGTTTGAATAAATCAACTCTATAAAGACATTGTGACAATTGATGCAATTTTATATTGATCAGATAGTAGGTGATATTCAACAATTGTTAATTTTTAGGGATGATAGTGGTATTATGTTTTAGGAAAATATTCCCAAGTAGCAGTGAACACCAAGTCCCCAGATATTGGTTTCTAATATCATTCTTTGATGAAAGGAAACAGAACTCCTCAAGAAATGGTTGATTTGGAGCTGTGCAGGGCAAAATACAAGATAAGTCTGGAACATCTTGTGGTGCCATAAAGTAAGAAAGAGCTCCCAAAAGGACAGAGCTTTCTCACATAGGAGCCAACTTAGAAGAGCTTCTATTAAATAGATGGGGAAATATTGGTAGAATTAGACTATAGCCCATAGAATAAAATAAAACCAAGTCCATATTGATATGAATAATAATTGAATAAATTAAGAAGGTAAAGGTCTTCTGTACAATAGAATTCCAATTGATAAATGTAGGAGAAATAGGAAATCACCATTAGCCTTCCTTTAAATTCTGGCAAAATCCCATCTGCTGCACAAGCGCAAGGACCCGAGTTCAATCCCTAATACCAAAAAAAAAAAAAAAAAAAAAAAAATATGCTGGCAAATAGATTTCACACTAACAAAATCTTACAGAAACTATAATTTAGTTTCTAAAGTATGAAAATGATCCATAGCCATTTTTCAGTGCTTCATTTGAATCTGAGGCTCTGGCTCAGGATGAGTTGGTTCTGCTTCCCTGGTATGATGGGCACTGGGACACACTTCCAAGATTCTTCTTCAGTGACGGCCTGTGACCACAGCTATGGGGAAGTTTCCAGGACAATCAGCAGCTGTCACAACCTTCAAGGATTGTCTCAGCTCCAGTGGCTATCTTACCCAAAGTGGTGTCCCTTCCCAGGTTGGCAATGTTGGTCGTTACTGCAACACTAAATAACTAATGTGAAAGGATAAAGCTCTGGCCACTCTGGTATTCCTCAACAACTCATACAGCGAGCTAGAGTTGTCATAAGGCCTGTGTCATATCTCATCTTCCTCTGAACTTGCTTGCTTGCCCTATGTTCCACAGCACTGGCCCCAGCGGCAATATTTTAAACATCTTGCCAAACTCCATCCAGCATCTGCTTCCTGGGGAACCCAACCTGAAATACCTGAATGGTAACTGAGTTATCTGTGGGCTGATTCCAAACCCTTGATTACATTTTCTAGACTCAGAGAACTGGTCTGGGTACCTGGTCAACATATGATGAACCTGCCAAAAAATATAGATATAGGATGACCTAGCTGGTTCTTTCTGCTGCTAGATGGGCTGTTCTATCATAACTTGATTGTAAGAGATTTCAGACTGTCATTACAACTAAAGCACAAAACTAACTGGAGTCTGCAGTCATCTATGATTGGCATTCTAAGGATCACAGCTGAGGTGGAAAGAAAGGCGAATGCCCTAGGAAACAGCTGCATTTTACTACTTGAAATGGTGTTCATAAATATCTAGCTACATATTTTTAATCAACAAAATAACATAAAGAAAAAAATAAAACACTATTTATGATAGAATAATATATATTTTAATATTAAATTTCCCACCATGGACATAGTACTGCTATCCGATGTTTGCATCTAAACAAAATTAACCATGCCAACTATAAATGCAGCTGCAAATGCTGAGGAAATCACATCCACCAGCAACCCTACACCATTGTCTCTCAATAATTGGGTATTTAATCACATAAGCTTCCTCAACCCTCCAATCAGAATGTCTTGAAACAAGTGTTTCACACCACTCAACAGAATTAAGCACCATATGCTCACTGTGGTTAACTTCCTTGACAATGTTTCATTTATTGACTACCTTCTCTTTCTTTAATTTTTATATTTATTAGTACACGATTGCAGTACATAATTACATTCACTGCGAGGACTTAGTACATGTACATAACACATCTTAGTTCTTTTTTTTTTTAATCCTTTTCCTATCCTCTCCCTTCCCCTTCCCTCGATTTATTGGTCCTCTTCCCTTTTGCAAAAGACTTATCTCCCAGTTTCCTGTTACCTTTTATTTTGCACTTTATATTTGGGGTTTCTTTTTTTTTTTTTTTTTTTTTTGTACTGGGGATTGAACTCGGGTCCTTGCGCTTGCGCAGCAGGAGGTGAAACCACTGAGCTAAATCCCCGGCCCATGGGGTTTCTCATATAAGAAAAATCATATGATATTTAAGCTTGTGTGTCTAACTTTTCTCACTTAACATTACTGTCTCAAAGTGCATCCATTTTCCTACAAATGATTCAAGTTTATTTTACTTTATAGCAGTACTCCATTGAGTATAAATACCACATTTTAGGGCCAAGGATTTAGCTCAGTGGTTTCGCCGCCTGCTGTGCAAGCACAAGGACCCGAGTTTGATCCCCAGTATCAATAAATAAATACCACATTTTAAAAGCTATCTTCTGTTGATGGACATATAGGCTGCTTCTAAGATTTAGCCATTATGAATTGTGCTGGTATGAACATGGGTAGGCACGTGTCACTATAATATGATGACTAACTCTTGGGAAGATACCTAGAAGAGGAATAGCGGGGTCAAATGAAATTTCTACTTTTACTTTTTTGAAGAATGGTTGCACAAGTTTACATTCCCAACAACTATGGTGAAGGGTCCCTTTTACCCTGCAACCTTGTGAGCATTTGTTATTATTTCACTTCTTGATGACAGCCATTCTTTCTGGAGTAAGATGGAATTTCAGTGTTGTATTTCTTTAAGGGCCAGAGATATCGAACATTTCTTCATGTATTTATTGGCCATATGTAATTCTCCTTCTGAGAAATGTCTATTCACTTTTGATTGGGTCTTTTATTTTGGGGGGTCTAATATTTTGAGTTTTATTCTGGGTATTAGTTCTCTGTCCAAGGAATAGCTGACAAAATTTTTTTCTCATTCTGTAGGTTTGTCTCTTCATTACGTTTGTTGTTTCCTTTGTCATGCAGGAGCTTTTTAATTTGATATGATCCCATTTGTTGATTTTTGATGTTATTGCTTGTGCAGCTGGAGTTCTGTTCAGAAAGTCCTTGCCTAAGCCTATGCATTTAAGAATTTTATCTATTTTATATTTCAGCAGATTAAGTGTTTCTGTTTCAACATTTAGATCTTTGATTCATTTTGATTTTAGGTTAGTACACAATGAGAAATATGGGTCTAGATTCCATATTCTACATGAGGATAGCCAGTATTCTCAGCACCATTTGTTAAAGAGGCTATCTTTCCCCCAGTG